CAGAATCTGAAGCAGGTTCCAGGCTCTGAGCTGTCCACATAGAGACTGATGTGTGGCTCGAACTCAAGAACCATGAGATCATGACCTGAGCTGAAGTCGGACACTTAACCGACTGAGCCAGCCAGGTGCCCCCGTATCATCCTATCTAAAATGCACAGAGAGGCTCAATACTCTGCCAAAGGTCACACAAGGAGCAAGCAGATGAGCTGAGATTTGAAGCCAAATTGTTTGACTTTGGAACTAGTACATTTTATGTTGACTGCATCAGTTACAAAGGCTTCAATTGTATCACTGTATTATAAGAGAAGATGCTTGTTTATCATCAAGTCATACAGCTAGTTAATGGCAGTTAAGTCTCAAATGCAGGTCCTATGTTTCCCATGTCAATCATGTGCTCCACTGAAATCTGATAAATTGAACTTTCAACAGTATTTATTTAGATGGGTATGATACTTTGTATAGAGTAGACACCATATTTAAACAGGGTCTTATGATCCATTTCTATCAAATAAATATCATGTTTCATTTCTGGGCCTAGGACAAGCTGGTGAATATATTCTGCTAGTTAGCAGGACTCTGATACTAAAATAGCTAAATACTGCCAATCTGGAAAATTTTTTTCCAGAGCCAGAGTTTATTAAGCTAAGTAAGGATTTGAGACTCTAATTTTGCAAGAGAAGATGAGACTCAACTATTAGGGTCCACAAACAAGAACAACATCATGTATTTTTCCCAGAGGACTCTTAAAGAGTCTGTTGCCTGTTAAGTCTGTGGAGGAGATGAAGCATGAAACTACTGCTTTAACTCAATCAAGATTCATGACCCTAACAGGAGAGTAGGTTTTATCAAAATCCTTATTGTGGGTATTGGAGGAAAACAGAATGAGCTGACAATATTAATGCAGACATTTACTTGTGAAGTTTCCTGAAATACCTGACAAGTCTGCACATTGTACTTTGATTCACTGGAAACTTCAGTGGACTAGAAACCTGACGCTGTTGTTTCTCATCAGTTGCATCACTATAATCCAAATCTTCTTCTTGGGTTCAATTTGTTTCATGGTGATGGTGACACTACTTTAAAGGGTTCTTTGCATAGTTTCAGAAAATAAATGCTCCACAGCTGGGTGATATATTAAAAACCACATAACATTACTGTTTAGAATATTCATGCCATTCAATTTTATTCAATAACTCAAAAATATGTTTGACAGTCTATGGATTTAGAAGAGATGAATTCTATTTAAGTTCTCCATTTCCAATGGCAACAATGGTGATTAAAGGGACTGGGGACAGTAATATAGGAGAGATATGACCATTATACATAAGGTTAAATTTGAGTTCTTCTCCTCACAGATTAGAATTTGGGTGGTATTAAGAAGTATTTTTGACAATAAATCTTTAAAAAGTTGCCTCGGAAAAGAAAGACTTTGCATTAGTTCAAAGGGCATAGAAGTTACATAGTAGCATATTCTACTTCATAAAGAGGAAAACAGAGGGGAAATGCTCATTGGCTCAAGTTATGAACTCGGTCTATGGACAATATTGTCAAGATCAGACAAAATACAATTATACAGGCTAAGGGAAGAAAGCATTCTAGGTTCAGTTATTAAGAGCACAGAACTGGTGGGTGAAAAAGTTACAAAAGAAAGGACTACTTTGTGGTGGGAAAGGAAATGTATACTCCTACCTTCCCTCCTATCAATAAATATGTTCAGTTATACCCAGGCCCACATCCCTCTTGGGGATGGCTCTCAACTCATTCTGTCACATGCAGCTCTTAAAAAGAAGGAACTATTAGGGGCACATGGGTGGCTGAGTCGGTTAAGCATCTGACTCTTGATTTTGGCTCAGGTCATGACCTTACAGTTTGTGAGATAAAGCCCTGTGTCGGGCTGTGTGCTGACAGCGCAGAGCCTACTTGGAATTCTCTCTCTCCCTCTCCTCTGCTCACGCACTCTCTCTCAAAATAAATAAACTTAAAAGAAGAAGAAGAAGGAGGAGGAGGAGGAGGAGGAGGAGGAGGAGGAACAATTATTGTCTTTTCTCATGGTTTTGTAATCATCTTTAGAGAATATTTCTGAGGTTTCTGGGGAAAGAAAGAAACCGAGAATCATATACCTTTATTTTATAAAGATTTCTCTTACAAAACTTTCATTTGCATAGAGCTGATTTTGCCTCTTTTTGAAATACTAGATAAGGGCAGTAGAATTCTACTTAGAATTGTTTTAATTTTTAGAATTTCTGATTACAGACAAAGCTCTTTTATTACATGAATAAGATTAGGAAGCTAAGAATGTAAAAACAGAGACTGCAAATTAATGCCTAGAGAGGTGAAACAGGCAATGTAAAAATCCTAGAATAGGATTTAGAACTAGAATTGCTATGTCCAGAAAATGATGGTTCTTTTTGCTAAGCCCTCTACTACCCTTATGAATAAGAGCAAGAGAAATGATTACCAAATGTGACTTTGAATCCATGTGGCTATTCACAGATCCTCTGAACTGGGATAAAATTCAAAAGAGGGCCTGTGATCTTGGCATACAGTACCACCTAGCCTGACTGGGGTGTGACAAAAAGCAAGCTAATATAATTCTCCAAACACTGGTCTAGAAATGTACAATTTGTAGCATCATATATGTTTATAGAAACATTGATACAGCTTTTAGAATCTGTCATTGGTAGGTTTTTCCATTAGTTTCATCATGTTCAGTCAAACCAAATCTACTACTTGTAGCATACAAAGAAAGGTGGGGAAGAACATAAAAAAAATTAGCTAATCTGCAATAAAAACTAGTAAAAGCTAGACCACAGAAACCATAGAGCTTAAGAAGACAATGCCAATCATAGGTTCTTCTCTCCCCTTCAAAACTTTTTATTCTCTGATCTTAGCAAATACTATATTCTTATTTTCTAAATGTTTTATTAATTTACCTTTTCTATTTTTGTAGCTTCTCCACCAATCCTCTGAATTAGCCTTGTTCAACCACGATGCTTACATGAACCAGAGAACTCAGAAACTGATTTATGTGGTAACTTGCCTCAATGTTCCCAAGGATAATACATAATTAGTACCATTTTAGATGCACAGGGTGCACACGATGGGGTACCTGATGGCACATGTGCTTAAATTTCTGAAGGAACTCCACACTAAGTCAGAACAGGGAGCCCCTTTATTTTTCTTACTTTAATTTTCTTATATTGTAGTAAAGTGGGTTCATATTCATCTAAGGACTATTTATTCATGAACAATTAAACTCTTGTGTATTCATTAACCCACTTGTCCCTTCTGAGCTGGATCCTGAACTCCTCTGGTGAGGTAGTAAGGTGGGGTTAAGAACCAATCCGCAAATAGTAAAACATGTAAAACTAAAAATTAGGAATTTGTCTTTTAAATGTTTTGAGAAATTACTATAGTTCTTTTTTTTATTTTTTATTAAAAAAAAATTTTTTTTTCAATGTTTATTTATTTTTGGGACAGAGAGAGACAGAGCATGAACGGGGGAGGGGCAGAGAGAGAGGGAGACACAGAATCGGAAACAGGCTCCAGGCTCTGAGCCATCAGCCCAGAGCCTGACGCGGGGCTCGAACTCACGGACCGCGAGATCGTGACCTGGCTGAAGTCGGATGCTTAACTGACTGCGCCACCCAGGCGCCCCATATAGTTCTTAAAATATAATAAATTACTATTATATGTGGATATAATCTATTACTCAGTAATTTGTTGCTGTTTTACTTTGAGTCTGATTTAGCTATGAAAGTAGTCAATATGGTTTTCCTTTCATTAATCCCTTCATTCAAGCACCTAGTACAGAAGTCTAGCAAACTTTTTCTGTAAAGAACCAAATGATACATATTGTGGGTTTTGTAGGCCATATGGTCTCTGTTACAACCAGGCAATGCTGTCATGGCCTGAAAGCAGCTATACACAATAGGTAAACAAACTGGCATGAATGGGTATGGCTGTGTTCAAATAAAAAATTGGTGGAGACAGTAGTTTTCTGACACCTGACCCAGAGTTCAGTGGTACATATAGACTGACAGTTCAAGAGATATTTTTAGCTAATGATAATGATGATGAGGGTAAGAAATAGACCTTCAGGGTATGAATATTTCCATAACTACGCCTTCTTACTACTTAGCAGTGCTAGAATTTGACTTTGGTTTCTGATAAGTAGATAAGAGTTTTATACCCACCTAAAGTATATCCTTGCATATGTGATAAATTTGGAAATGAGAAAAAAGGAGAACAAATACTATTTCTTATTGTGATCATTTAATTAACTAAAACAAAACAGTTAATTATGACTGAATTGACTCTGAACAAAGCAGAATGCTGATGTCAGATATATAGTCAGCCTATCCATTACTGATTTATCACCAGTTCATACTTACTAAGTACTTTCTTTATTAAACAAAACACAAGACACACAAAGTGATTCCTAAGTAGGACTGTGCATTAAGAACCACCTAGGAGCTTCTTTCTTGGGGCCCTACTCCAAAATCTATTATCAAAATCTTACTTGTTGGTGTCTAGATGAAAATTTGGGAAAACTGTCTTAGTTAATTCTGGTTATCCCTGGAGTCTTCAATTTTAAGAAAAAAAGTTAAGCTCTAAACATGTTCTAATCTGTGGTTAGCAATTTGGTATTACTGTTTAAGTGCATGAGCTCTGGAGTCAGAGCTGGGCTCTAAACCCATTTTTGCCATTTCCTAGCTGTATAACCTGGGCAATTTCTATATGCCTGAGTTTCTTTATCTGTAAATTGGATATAATAACAGCATTCAACTCATAGCATTGTTGGGAGAATTCAATAGGTGAAAATATCTGGCATAACACCTGGCACACATCAGTCACACAATAAATATAAACTATTACTACTTATCACACATTTTTTCAATTACTAACAATGATATCAAAATATACTACATTTTAAAGGCCTAATTCAAGGTGCATAGTCTGTTAAGTGAATAGGCTATTCCAACTTGTCTTGTACTGACCAGCAGAAGAGGTGTCCTTTTCCACAGTCCACAGCAGGAGCTCTGAGCAAGGGAAAGCTGAGTGTATCAGACCCAGATGTATTTGACCCTTGTTTTGTAAGTCTGACTGCTCTTTCACAGCCTGGAGTAGGACACCATTTAATGGCAGGATTATTTTCAACAAAGGCCTGTTGGAACAGCAATAACAAAACATGACAGAAAATATTTTAATACTAAATTCTCAGAGTATATCCCATGTCAATTTAATTTAGAGGGAAAAAAAGGCGTGAAATAAAAAACAAAGAGTAATCAGTCTAAAGAGATACTTAAAATAGTACCAGAAAGTATGAAACTTAAAAGTAAGAAGGAAAAAAGAGGTAATTACTTTAGTAACAACATGACTTTTTAAATTTATATTTTCTTTAATCTAAAAACCAGGTAGGGGTGCCTGGGAGGCTCAGTTGGTTAAGCCTCCAATTTTGGCTCAGGTCATGATCTCATGGTTCGTGAGTTTGAGCCCAACATCAGGCTCTGCACTGGTGGTGTGGAGCATACTTGGGATTCTCTCTCCCTCTTTCTCTCTCTGCCCCACCTCCACAGTTGCTCTCTCTCAAAATAAATTTAAAAATATATAAAAAACACAAAAGCCAGGTAGATGCTGATGAAGTAAAACATAACTATTCACAAAGAAAATGTGTAATTTAGACATGTTTTCTCATACAATATGCTGCTTTTCTGATGGCAGATAATTATAGAATAGAATCTTGTATGTGATTATTAGTTACATTAGAACTGCAAATTTCTAAATGGTGCCCTAATAATACAGAAGTCAATATTATGATGCTTTCTACGTTATGAAACAGCAGAATGTCTTTTTAAAAGTCCATATGTTATAGGGGTTAGACTACAAAAAAATCTGCATAAAGCAGTCAAAGTATAATTTTTAAATCACACAAGAAAGTAACTTACCTATGCTTCTGCACAACTCTTAAACAAAATTAAAGAATGCAGAAAAAAGAAACATAATTCACTATATGAAACTATTTTTTCAAAAAACCCATTCTAAATTGATAATCTTTATTTCTGAATATTTACTTGTAGTAATGTAAAATATGTCTTTTAGAAAACTTCAAATAGGTACTACCTACTTTGAATACTGTTCTCATCAATCAGTTATAAAAGTGCCAACAGGCAAATCAGCATACAGTTCTGACCAACATTTTTTATTTTCTGTAAATTACTACTTCGGCTTTTAATTTTTACTTGTTTTTTAGAATTAAAAAAAATTATTTTAGGGAGCGAGAGAGCGAGTGGGGGAGAGGGGCAAAAGTGGGGAGAGAGAGAGAATCTTAAGTAGGCTGCATGTTCAGCATGGAGCCTGGTGGGGGGGCTTGATCCCACAAACCTGGAATCGTGACAAGCCAAAATCAAGAGTTGGACACTCAACCTACTGAACCACCCAAGTGCCCCTACCTTTACTTCTATCATGACTACAAAATAATGTTTTAGCTTATAACTGTAATTAATGCCACCACTCCTTCATGCAGTTTTTCTGGGAGACAAAAGTCAGAGTCCATTATTTCACGTGTTTTCAAAAATAAAAAAAAAAGTTAAATAAAATCTGTTACACAGTTTTAATAAAATTAAAATGATGGAAATCAGATAATTGGCAGCATACCTTAATATCAAACTGTAGGTATCGTTTGTCCATCTCCTTAGAAACTACACTTTCTATGATATCCACAGGCACAAGTTGGAAGCAATCATATGCAGGGCAGAAAATGTTGTGAGCTTCACCTTCTTGAATTTTCAGATTCAAAAATCTATTAAAATTATCAATTGATAGAAAAAAAGGAAAAATATAACTTATTTTCACATTCTAAGAATTTTTTCTTTATGCTCAATTTTCTTTTAGAGTGTAATTAAAATAACACCAATGAACAAAGTGTGGAATATCAATTATAATACAATTGATTTAATAAAATATATATAATTCACATAATTCACAAATATTATTAAATATTATTTGCCCAACCATTCATTCATTTATTCATACATACACACATATATGAATATATATACTCATGTTTATGTTATATATATATTTTATACATGTTCCTCTTTTGCTTTATTCTAAAAATCTGAAACAATATATATAACATTAAAATTTAAGAAATGAGTGATTTGGAAAGGTCACATTCAATTCTCAATATTTCGTACTTTTAAAGAAAAGGGAGCAATTGTACAGAATTAAAATCCTGGATAATCCAAGAGATTTGGGAGTGGCATTGCAAAATAGCATACCTTTTTGAAGAAAAGACTTTCTGCTTATATTTCATTCAGACGAGTATTAAGTTGCATGTCCTACTCCAGGCACACTAGTTGACCTAGTCAAACTAGTTCCCTAGTTGCCCAGGGAAAAGGCATCCTGGAGAGTGACAGGAATGTAGCCCTAGGTGAATTAAGTGCTTAAGAGCAGGATTTTGAGTTAGACAATTCCAGGTCTGCCACTGACAAGTCATATGATCTTTAGCAATTTGTTTACCTGTCTGCCTCTCAGTTTCACTATCTGTAAAATGGAGTTAATAATAAGCATTTCTTGGGGTTGTTACACAGATTATATGATATAATGTATGAACATCTCCATGGTGCCTGGCATAGATAAGAATTCATAAATTTTAGCAAGGGTTTTATTTTTATTATTAATATTTCCTATGGACAAACAAGAAGAAATGAGCTTTTAAAGTGTGATTTAACACTTAAACCTAGACAAAATAAATGGAAAGCCAGGCAATTAAGTCACCATTCTCTAGTGATCGCTATCAACTGTTTGACTCTTCTGCCTGCAGTATTTTTCCTTCAGGTTCTCTCAGGCTCTTAATTCTACTGCACTTAAAAAAAAAAAAAATCAAACTTACTGTCATCAGATCTACCCCCTCTGCTCCATTTCCTTCTTCCACAATTTCATCCTGGCACTTTAAGGAAAACAGAGCCCTCTCTTCTGTTTTTTTTTAATTTACTTATTTTAAGAGAGCAAGAGAACATGTGCTGGAAGGGACAGAGAGGAAGAAGAGAGAATCCCAAGCAGGCTCTGCACTGTCAGCACAGCCCAATGGGGCTCGAACCCACGAACCATGAGATCATGACCTGAGCTGAAATCAAGAATTGATGCTTAACCTACTGAACACCCAGGTGCCCCCAGAACCCTCTCCTAATACCCTTTCTAACATACCCCAGACCTAGCCATATCTTTAGCTGTCTCTGCCTTCTCACTTCAGTGAAAGAGGGCTTTCTTCTTCACCCCCAAGCTAATCCTTAAATATTCTGGCCAGCTCTGGAACTTGCACAATCCAGAAACCCATCCCCTCTTTGTCTCTGTTTCTGTCTCTCTGTCTCCCTAATGGCTCTTTTCTTTGGCATAATACATATGCTCAAGTTTTTTCCCACCCTGAAACATTTCTCAACCAAATGATCCTTTTTAGCTCTACTTTCCTTTCATATCAAATTTTCTTGACAAAATAGTTTGATGATTTGTCATTACTTCCTCAAGTCCATCCCATTCAACCTGCAACACACTAGCTTTTGTCACCTCTTCACTGAATGGCCAGCTCTCAACAAGGCCATAAGACTACCCATTAGCCCAAGGATTCAAGACTTCTCAATTTTTATCTGCATTGACTTCTCTGGAGCATCAGACACCGCTAAACAGTTCCTTCTTTTAGATTCTCTCTTTTCTCTGGCTTCTAGGACTTATTTTTTTTCTGCTGGTATTATCTTCTTACTTCTGGTTGCTCCATATCCATCTTTTCCACTAGTGACTTTTACTCCTCTGATCACTGATTTTTACGTTCTCTAGGGTTTTCACACCAAAAACCTTTTCTTCCCATTCCATTCAATCTTCCTGGGTGATCTGAATATTAACTTGGGGTGCCTGGGTGGCTCAGTTGGTTAAGTGTCTGACTTTAACTCAGGTCATGATCTCATGGTTTGGGGGTTCGAGACCCGTGTCAGGCTCTGTCCTGACAGCTCAAGTTCCTGGAGCCTGCTTTAGATTCTGTGTCTCCCTCTCTCTCTGCCCCTCCCCCACTTGCACTCTCTCAAAAATAAACATTAAAAAACTTTTTAAAATACTCCTAAACTACCACCTATATGCTAATGACTCCGAAATTTAAAGCCCAGATATCTCTCCTTAGCTATAGATTGTACTACACACAATATTTGTTTAAATGCCTCATATGCATTTAAAATTCAACATGTTTAAAATCTTCCCTTCTATTTCTCAGTATAATTGAAAAGCCACACACACTCCACAAAACTGACATATGTCAACAGAAGGCCACTCTGTACCTTAGTTACTAGTTAAAAATTACCTGTATATACTCTGTGTCAAGAAAAACAATTTCACAGAAATAAAGATGGATGAAGTGTTTAGGGGAAATGCTATGGAGCAGCAGTTCCCAAAGTGTGATCTGTGGACCTGAGACTTTTCAGGGGGTTTATGAGGTCCAAACTACTTTCATAATGGTATTAAAACTTTGTTTTTCAGTTAAAACTGCTGATGCTGTAGCAAGAATCATGGCAGTGGTGCTAAAACCGTACTGGTAGACTTTATATTCTTCACTGCTTCACACTTGTAGTTAAAAAGCCAGTTTCATTTAAGAATAGCCTTGATGGAATAATTATGAATTACTGGTTATTAATAAATTTTATTATTTATTTTATTATAGTAAGTCTTAGCCCACAAGTACACATCTTTTGGGTATGCTGTGCAAAGAAATGGGAAGTAAGCATAATGAACTTCTGCTGCATACCAAACCATGCTAGTTGTCTCGGGGAAAAGTACTTAGGAAAATGTTCAATTTAGAAGTGGACCTACCTACTTTTATCATGGAATGCTATTTTTATTTGAACACTATTTATTTAGAAAATTAATTAAATGAGCCTGTCACGTCAAGGAAAAAAGTTGACAGTCTTTGTTGCCAATGATAAAGTTCAAGACTTCACATAAAAATTAGAATTTTGAAAAATTCTTAATGCTACTGTGAACTTGACAGCTTCCCAATATTTATAGACTTTTCTTTTTTTCTTTTAAAAACTTATTTATTTAAATTCAAGTTAGTTAACATACAATGTAGTATTGGTTTCAGGAGTAGAACCCAGTGATTCATCACTTACATATGATACCCAGTACTCATCCCAACAAGTGCCCTCCCTAATGCCCATCACTCATTTAGCCCATCCCCCTGCCCACCTCTCCTCCAGCAACCCTCAGTTTGTTCTCTGTATTTAAGAGCCTCTTATGGTTTGCCTCCCTCTCTGTTTTTATTTTTCCTTCCCTTCCCCTATATTCATCTGTTGTGTTTTTTAAATTCCACATATGAGACTTTTCTCATGAGTTTGGTGATGATAGTAATTAATGTGTTTTTTTTTTTTTTT